GGGAGTGGGGAAGTGAGACGGAAGGGAAGGACGATAATAAAGAGTGTTGTATCAAACAGGTTACTGTGGGAAAGTGAGGCTTGGCACCACCCCCCCAGGAACTCCGGGAGACAGAGCGGAACACGCCTCAGATTTTACCCACCGAGGGTGAGGACCACCGCCCGTCGGTCAGTTTGTTGTACTCTGGTGGCGCAGAACCAGGCGACATTTCTCTCTGTTGTACGTGAGGTTGCCATGAGTCGCAGCTGACCCTAATTGGCAACTAACGGCAACAAGAAGCAGGAGGCAGCTGGGGCATTATTCTCAAACTCCCAACCAAACCCGCGGGGGGCTGCTCCTGCCAGTAACTGCCTGGCTCTGCCAGCCTGCCCCCAAACCCCATTGCCGCCTCATAGCGACCCTATAGGACAGAGCAGAACCACCCCAGAGGGTTTCCAAGGAACGGCTGGTGGATTCAAATGCCGACCTTTTGGCTAGCAGCTGAGCTCTTAACCACTGCGCCACCAGGGCTCCAGCCTGCCCCCAGATGGGCCAGAGGAAGCCCTCAGATGGTATGCCACAGGTCTTCGCAATGGAGCACTGAGGGCGTGTCCTAGAACGTGAGTGACTGCTGTTTTCTTCTTCAGTAAACCTCTGAGGTAGGAATGGGAATTGACTGTTTCCGCCTACAGTGAAGGAGCCCTAGTGGCACAGTGGTTAAGCGCTCGGCGGCTAACTGAAAGGTCATCACTTCGAACCCACCAGCCACTCCACAGAAGAAAGGTATGGCAGTGTCTTAGGCTGGGTTCTCTAGAGAAGCAAAACCAGTAAAGTGTATAAATGTATATATAGAGAGAGATTAGATCAAGGGAACAGCTCACGTGACTGTAGAGGCTAGAACGTCCCAAGTCCGTGGATCAGGGTAGAGGCCTCTCCCAAGTCACACAGCTGCAGAAGCTGGCACGCCCAAGATCGGAAGGTCGGAGAGCAGGGCTCCCACTCACAGGCTGTGCAGATTGACGAATCCCAGGTTCGGCAGATAAGCTGACAGCTCAAGTCTCAAGGACGGGAGATGAGACGACAGGAAGCAGCTGCAGGATCCAGAGAGAGCAAAAAGCCAGAATGTCTGCTTATATACAGATGTGGGCCACACCCCCAAGGATACTCCCTTTCATCTGATTGGCTACTCACAGTATATTCAATCATGGGAGTGATTACATTAAAACACGGAGAATCATGGCCCAGCCAAGCTGGCACACAATCTTAACCATCACAGGCAGTCTGCTCCCGTAAAGGTTACAGCCTTGGAAATCCTATGGGGCAGTTCAACTGTGTTCTATAGGGTCACTATGGGTTGTAATAGACTCAATGGCAATGGATTTTGGTTTTGGGTTTGGGTTTGCCTCCAGTGAAAATGTTTCTGAGGTCAAGTCTAGGTTCAATGAGAAAAAATGTCATGATCGGTTGTTGATGTCTGCCCTGGGCACAGGACATAGAGTAAGCCATGTATTTCCTATTTCTTCTCCAAGGTTCATCTGGGTGGGTTCTTCTTGCTTTGTGGAGTCCCAGGCTCTAGGATTTGGGCAGCAACTAGGGATGTAGCCCTGCAGAAAGAGAAGGAAGCCTGATTTCCACCCAGCGGGTTCTAGAAAAGCTGAAGGACCAAAGCTAATAAAAGTGCACCCAGCCTTTCCCCCCAGAAAAGCTGCAGCTGGTGTTAATTGCAACCAGATGTAATAATATAGATCCATACCTGGCCCCGAGTTCACACCCCCTTAGAAGTGAACAAATAGCAAAGCTTAACCCCTGGCTAATGTGCATGTCAGGGAAGATGCAGGGCAATTCCGTTTACATTTTACCTGTGACTTAGAGCTGATTCAGAAGTGATTGTTGGCTGAGCCTGGATCCCTACAATGAGCTAGGAAACAGCTCCTGAGTTCTACTTTTTCAACAGCAAAGAGGCTACTTGGGTAAGGACCTGGAGGACAAGGAAGAGGTAACCAAGTGAACAAGGCAAGGAAGTGTAGTTCAAGGAGAGGGAACACCATGTGGAAAGCTGGAGAGGGAGAGAATCTGGCACATTCAGTGAAGTTCTGAGTGGCCAGAGTAGAATGTGAAGTAGGGATCAGTATATGATGAGGTCAGCGAAGACAACCTGACATTGAGAAATCATGCAAGGCCTGATTACAAGTCACGTTAAAAACTGCGCTTCACCCTGAGAGTACTGGGAAACCAGGGACTAGATTTAAGCAGGGGAAATGCCCGCTTATTTCACCACCAGGGTGGTCTCCTCCACCCTCCCAGCCTGAAGGGAGAGAGTAAGTCTTTCTCCTTCCATCTTGCCTCTGGGGCAAGTGGGTGGGTAAGCTAAAAGGTGCCTGTGTACACAAGGCTCCAGGCAACAGGAAGAAGCTGATGTCCCAGCTCCTGTAGAAAAAAAAACAAACCCATTCCGGTCGAGTCAATTCCGACTCATGGTGACCCTATAAGACAGAGTAGAACTGCCCCGAAGAGTTTCCGAGGAGCAGCTGGTGGGTTTGAACTGATGAACTTTTGGTTGGCAGCCATAGCTCTTAACCACTGCACCACCAGGGCTCCTGTAGGGCAACTAAGAATTGTCAGAAACAAGCAGGCAGAGAGATGCTGTGATGGCATTTTGGTTTCACAGAAAGAACAAACATCCATACAGGAATCCTGCCCTGGAGGTGCACTAGCAGGAAGCAGGTGGGGAATGAGGCCCACCGACAAGGAGGAGATGGGGCAGGTGCTGTCAGCCCAGCAAACCCCTTCCAGACAGGCTGCCTCGCTGCCAGACACATCTTCTAGGGCAGGTAGACAGCATCAGCCCACAGAAGTGGAGTAACTTGCCCCAAAACACGCAACTAGCAAGTGGCAAACCCAGATCAGCCTGAGCCCAAAGTCCATCTTCTTCTCCCAACATCACAGGCTTTTCTCTGCCTGATTCTTCTAAGGCCAAGACCACATGCAAGTTCCCAGCTGTTCAGCCCCTTAATGTTTGCATCTGGCGGGACGTGTCCACAACGGGAGGTGCCATCTTAGAGTGGCTGAGAAACGGGTCCCAGGAGCCCCAGACTCACAGACTTCTAGCTTAGCATCACCAAGGAGAGAAGAGCTCCTCTCTCCCTAGTTTCCGTATATCCATCCCAGGAAAAACTCTGATTGGCTTTGCTTGGGTCACATGCTCACTCCTCAACCAATCACAAGGAAGTCACAATGCTCTGATTGGCCAGCCCCTTACGACAGGGGTGGAGCGTCATGATGGAGGCCCCTCCTCCACATCTGGGACCACAGGTAGGTGGTTTAATCTTGACTTGGAGGATCGTGGAAGGCTTCCTACACTGAGGTCTATAGGATGTGTAGGAGTCTTCCAGGCAAAGAGGCAGCGGAACCGATAAACAAGTGCAAAGGGATGCTCTGGAGCATGTCTCCCTCATCGCCCTGTCCCCCATGCCTAGTGCATAGTTGCCTTCCCAGAGGCTCTCAGAGAAAGCTCAGGAATGAAATCCATGATTGGCTGTGCACCCTTAGGCAAGTTACTTGCCCTCTCTGAATTTCAGCCTCCTTCTCTATCTGATGATTTAATCATCTGCCCCTTCCAGGGTTGCACAAGAATCCAAATCATTCGGTCCCCAAATACTCATCAAGCACTTCCCCAGTGCTCAGCATCTTACTAGGCCTGCAGGAGGCCCCTGCTGTGGAAAGGCAAGGCATGCTTAGGGCTTACGCACGTGGCAGAGCTGAAGCCAGAAATTGGGCGTCTGGGCATTGAGGCAGGACAGAGCAAGTGACCAAGGATAGTGGGGGAAATTCCTGCCTTCCTACCCTCCACACTCCACCCTCCCCCTCCCCTCCCCCACGTGACCACATACCACCCCTAGGGTCACCTTATCTGTGTCTGGGCCAGCATCCGGGCCAGTAAGACCTTTCTCCCAGTGCCCAGAGAATTCCTAACCTGAATAACAGGTTGTGACAATCTCTGGTAGGAACAAGGAGGAAAGAAACTGTTTCTGGTTTGGGTGGCTGTAGAGGCAATTCTTGCTACAACCTGTGAACCTGCCCCAGGCTGTCTCCCAACAGCCCCTCCCGCAGCGGGCCAGAGAGCCCAGGGCTTCCAGGACCAGTGGGTTAGGGAGTCAGGAGACCAGGGAGCCCGTAGGTGCTGGGTGGGTGGCCAGAGACTCCCGGGCCAGCCAGGACCAGAACCTGCCCCACCCTGGCCCTGAAGGCAGAATCTCTGGTCAGATGGTCATAGCAGCAAGAGGCTAGCCCCTTGCCCAGGTATGTGCCTCCACCATCCATCTCACTCCCTGAATCCTCTCTGTCTCTCTCTCTGAACCGGGCAGCCATAACAAAGTACCACAGCCTGAAAACAACAGAATATATTCTCTCGGGGTTCCAAAGGCTGGAAGTCTGAAATCAAGGTGTCTGCAGAGCTGAGCTCCCTCGAGGCTCCTTGTTTCTCCCAGTTTCTGGTGGACCCAGGCGCTCATTGCCTCACGGCAGCAGAACTCCATCTCTGCCTCTGTCTTCACGTGGCGTCCTCCCTCTGTGTGCCTCTGTGTTTTCTGTCCCTTTCTCGCCCTCTGTCCCTCTCTCTGCTTCCGTCTCGTACTTTCCCTCTGTCTGTCTCTGCCTCTGTCTGCTTTCCTGCCGTCTGTCTCTCCTCACCCCAACTTCCTTGTCCCTGTTTCTCTGTCTGTCTCTCACCAGCCTGTGCCCTCTCTCTGTGAAGATCCACGTCTGTCTGTTCATCTGTCTGTTGGGTCCTGTCCTCATCCTTCCATCCTGTCCAGCCTCCAGCTTTCTCTGATACTCCACACAGCGTGGGTGACCCTATAGAATGTCCTGGGCCCCTGAGAGCATTCAAATTCATAATATACTTCAGTATCGTAAAAAAAATAGTAATAATAATTAGTAGTTCAAATTTCAGGAAGTTAAAGTTTTACAGAATTTCTGTGGGTGGAGCTGGGCAACAGCTCAGTTTTCTAACCCGGAAGGCCTGGAGGGGTGGGAACAGGGCGGGAGAGGTGGCTTTGTGGTTGCTGCTATTGTTATTCATATACGAGGGAGCACGGGTCCAGCCTAGCCGCCTTGGTCTGCAGAAAGCACGTCCCAGAATGGTGAGGCCCCAGAAGGCAACACTGTCAGGTGTCCCTTCTTGGGTCTGTGTCCTTGAGGGGGTGGGCTTTGGAGTCCATGTCTGTTGAGAAGGATTCTTAGGGTAAAGAAGATTGTGGCGTGGGAAGGGGAAAGGAAGAGCGGTGGAAGAATGTCATTCCAGTTAGAGAAGGTCGCATTTTTCTAGAGACTTGAGGAGAGGAGACAGGCCCTTGGTTGGCTCTGGGAGGTCCAGGGCGGAGGACAGTTACCACCAGCCCAGTCCTCCCTTCCTAAAGTCTCCAGAGATGTGCTGGGGGGGTTCAAAGCTGTGGAAGGAAAAAAGGATGGGTAGATGGATGCATGAAAGGATGGATGGGTGGATAGATGGATGGAAGGGAGGGAGGGAGGACATACAAATGGATGGATGGATAAGTGAATACATCAAATCCTCCAGGAGACGTTCCTCTGCTTGCCAATTTCTGCACTCATAAAATGGCGTCTTGAATTGAATATAAACTTCAGGGGCAGAAATGAAGGAGGGGTGGAGGCAGAGGGACAAGGAGGAAAATTGCCCCGTTTCACATGGCAGACAGCGAGGAACCAGCTGACAGGACCCTGGTTTGCTCAGTTCGACGTCCCTGTTCCTGATCTTCAGTTTCGTTCCTTTTCAGATTCCAGTTTCCAGTTTCCAGTCTGATTTTCTTCTCTTGCACAGGATAACGCTGACCCCAAACCGCTCTTCACAGGATGAGAGCATCAGGTAGGACGGGCTCTGAGGAGCTTAGGGTGCAAGTGCAGGGTCTGAACTGTCAGCAGGGCCCCCCATCCCTGGGCTCAGAGGTGGCCTGACTGTGTCCACTCGGGCAGTGCTCTCAGATGTTCAGCCAGAGCACAGAGGGAGACCAGTCCAGGGGAGCCTGGAAGAGCAGCAAAGACGACTTCCTGCCTCCAGCCTGGAGGCCTTGAGAAACTTCGGCACAAAAAATCTCCTCTGAGGGCCTGGGCTGCTGAACTGCCTCTCACATTCCCAGAGCGTCCAAGTCCATAATGTACTTTTGTATCTTAAAAAGGTGGGGTCTTGCGCGGTGCGTCTCCCGGCATCTCCTCACTGTCACCGTGCTCCACAGGTGTGCTCCGCCTCTTGGCCCTCGTCTTCGCTGTGGTCACCACCTGCATGTTTATCCGTTCCTATATCAGCTTCAGCGTGAAAACCATCCGCCTGCCCCGATGGCTGCGTGAGTGGGCAGGGTCTGTGGACCAGAACTGAGCGCAGAGCCAAAATTCCTCCCTCCACCCCGGACCCAGGAGACAGCCGGGCATGGCAGGGCAAGGGACTGCCTTTGAGTGGGGAGTGAGGGGAGACTGGGGGTGAACCTCCAGGCCAGGAAGGCTGGAGCCCATGGGAACAGAGAAGTGTTCCAAAGCCCGGAAAATGTACGCCTGCATTAAGAACTGTGTTGGAAAGGGGACCCCAGGAGGGAAGAGGTGAAGAAGGAAGGACAGGGGATGGGAGAGAAGGAGGGAGAGAAAGGAAAACTGTCCATGTGTTGAGTGGTTCCACCTACATCGGCTACCCCTCTGCCTGGAACCCTCTTCACGCAGCTCTCCCCATGGCCAGCTCCTTCTCAGCCTTCAGGTCTCCACTCACAGCCACCGCCTCAAAGAGGCCTTCCCTGACCACTCCAGCTGCAGCCGCACCCCCCTCCACGTTTACCCTCTCTCACGTCAGCCTGCTTCCTTCAGAGCATCATCATAACCTGTTATTATGTTGTTGATCCCTTTGTTACTTGGTGTTTTCCTGCCTCTGCTCCGGAGAATATGAGCTTCCTGGGGGCAGGGATTTTGTCTTGTGTACATCCCTCCAGAGCTGGTGCTCAGCACACATTTGCTGAATGGATGGATGGATGGATAGATGGATGTCAGCATAGATATGGAAACCCAGGTCTCCCAGGTCCAAACCTTTTCTCAGCAAAGGAAGGAAGGAAGGGAAGGGACTTAGACGCCTGGATTTGTCCTCTTTAAAGACCGACGACCACCTCCTCTGACACTGTCAAGCATAATAACCTGTGGTGGCCCCGGAGTGCGCAGAGCTTCCCAGGTTGCTGGTCTTTAACATAAGTCCACATTCCAGCGTCTGAGGGCCCTTTGCTTGGCTGCTTTGTGTGGAGCATGGTCCACAAGTCAGAATGCTTGTTGCTACTTAACCTTATTCCATGGGCAGCTTCCTCTCTGAGGTGGGCATGTGGCCACCAGATCTCCAGAGGCTCATCTCCTAGCTTAGCTGAAAGAGGCACTTCTCTCTCTCCCAGGGCCATATATTAACCTAGGGAAGGGCTCTGATTGGCTTTGCTGGATTCACGTGTCCAGCTCTGGACGAATGACTGCTGCCAGAGGAATGTAGTGTTATAATTTGCCCAGCTTGGGTCACATGCTACTCCTGAGGCCTTGGAGGCAGGGGTGGGGGACTGCAGGATGGACAGCCCCCTGAGGGACACATGGAGACTCTGTATGTGTGGGAGACATCAATGGACAAAAACAATGTATTCATTGTCCGTGGAGAGTTCCCTCCCCTGGCAGTTCTGTTCCCACCAGAGGGCCTGTCCTCTAGGTCCTACCACTGGTGGTAGGAGACCTGATATAGAACCCCAGCCCCCAGCCCGCAACCTCCATCCCACAGGGGGCCCAAAGTGCTTTCTCCCTTACCAGGTTTTGTCTTCTCTTCCGTCAGGTCCGGCCACCAAGGAGATCCGTGAGTATCCACTCAGCCCCCCGATTTCCCTAGGGTGAGATGTCCCAGGGTCTCTGCTCCCAGGTCTACCCACGGTCTACCCGGCCCTCTTCTGTGGCCATGGTGGTGCTCGAGGTCCCAGAGCCCTGTGGCAGGGGTAGCCCCCTCCCAGCCATTCAGACAGCCCCCCTTCGCCAGTCCCCCCACCCCGCTGTCAGCAATGCCCCCCCTGCTTCCTCCATCACAGCCCCTGCCCTGCCCTTCCCCTCTCTGAGTCCCCCATCTGGCTGGGAGCCCTCAGGACAGGGGCTGTGCCCATGATCACAGGGAACCCAGGCTTGGCTCATGGTTCCTGCTCCAAGATACCGGGACACGTGCCAGGCACCACCGGGGTCCCAACAAACAGAGAGGATGCTGATTGTCTGGTGGGGTAGAAGTGCCAATGTCCCAGGAGAGGCAGGGAAAAGTGCTCCAGGTTGGGGGGGTGGGGGGGTGGTTTAGGGAAGAGGCTTTCAGCTGTGCCCTGGAGGATGAGGCGGTTGGAAGCTTGTGGAGGAAGGAACGGCCCACACAAAGGCCTGGAGGCAGGAACACACAGGCTGCAGTGAGGGCCTTGGCTGGAGAGTCAGGGACAGTGAGCACTAGGGGGTGGGCTAAAGCCCCAAAGGGGCAGGAATGACGAGGACCTCGAAGCCTTGCAGGCATCTCAGCAGGGCTTCAGAAGGCTCTCAAGGCTCCGAGGAGCTGGAAGGGAGGCGGCAGCAATGACGATGACAGTAACAGTGCTAGTGCCTCTGTGTGCCAGACACTGTGCCGAGCTTCACGGGCCTCTCCTGGCGGCCTCACAACAGCCCCATGTGGGTGCTGTAATTATCCCCACTTTATAAATGATAAGACTGAGGCTCCGGAAGGTGAGCCGGCTTAAGCAAGGCCACGCAGTGTAAGTGGTGGAGTGGGAGCCAATCTCGCTGGCTCCTCCAGAGCCCACCCTCTCAACAACTCTTTGCAAGAGGCACCTCAGGCCCCCTCCCTCCCCCACCCAGCATGGTGGTGGCTCTGAAGAGGGATGCTGCTCCAAGAATAGGATTCTACCCAATCAAGAAGGACTTGGATGCCCCAGTGCACTGTGGGATTACAGAGAGCAAAGGCTGTATGAATCAACAGAAACCATTCACCCTCACACCCTCAGCCCCCCATCTTCCTGAATTCTCCTGAGTCATACTCTGAAGCAGACACACAGTCACGGCATCTTGGTGCAGAACAAACACTTAGACATCATCAGCTGAGGGGATGGCAAATCCAAGCACTCATGCTGCTTCCCACCCTGCCCACTGCCATGGTAGACATCACCAATCAATCCCATCATGCCTTCCCTCCAAGCCCATGGGCAGCCTTAGGAGCTTTTCATTAAGCCACCAACAGTAGATCCAAACTGACATTTAAGAGGAAACCTACTTGATAATCTTGATCTAAATCAACCCCCTCAGTTTACAGTTGGCAAAGGTAAAGGGGGAGATCCCCGGCAGGTCATACAGCGGGTTAGTGGAAGAGTGGACCGGAGTCCAGGTTCTCTGACACCCCCTCCCTACCCCTACAGCAAACCAGCCGGCATCAAGCCGACTCCAACTCATGGCAACCCCATGTGTGTCAGAGTAGAATGGTGCTCATAGGGTTTTCACTGGCTGATTTTTGGGGAGGAAGTAGATCGCCAGGCCTTTCTTTTGAGGCACCACTGGGCGGACTTGAACCTCCTACTCTTCTGTGAGCAGCAGAGGTGTTAACTGTTTACACCACCTAGGGGCAACCTCCAAGTCTAGTGCTGTTGGTAATGCCAGCCCCATGCTCTCAGCAATAGAGTTAGGGCTTCTCTGAGTGGGTGGGCCTCAGGGTGAGAGGCAGCAGGTGGGGGCAGCCCCCTAAGCCAGAGCCCAGAGAACAAACACCCTGCCTCGCAGCAGCCGAGACCCCTGGGCATCACCCCCTTCCTCCAGCAGCTTGTCCGTGAAGGCTGCATGGTCAGAAAATCAATTCCGGAAAAGCCTGCTTAAGCCGGCTTACTGACATCGGGTTTATCAGACTTAGCTGCAGTTGATTAAGCTCTGGGCAAACTTGGGGGTGGTCCCTGAGGCCTGCAATAATCCCCCCAGCATAGGTGAGACCCTCAGGTCTCAAAAGTAAGCAGGCATCTCCATAAGGGGACAGGTGGCGGGATGTGGGGGCCTGAGGGAGGGTGCAGGAGAGAAGCCGTGGCAGACCAGAGGACCCCTCCCCAGATCTCTCCTCTGCCAGGCAGAGGCTGGTCCTCTCATGGGGCTCTGGTCCGGAGGGCCTGGGGAGGGAGCGGGGCTCACGTCTCCCGCCCAGTGTCTCTCCTGAGCTGCAGGCCTGAGGGCCAACTCTCTCCCAACACCCCTGGGGGTATCTCCACTCCTGCCCTCGTGCTCTGGATGATAGCGGTGCTGGTTTGAGCTTCGGTTACACCCATCCGTTGGGTGTGCTATAGCTAGGGGGAAGGGGGCCCCTGATCGTCAGGGCTGCCCACTCTGCCCAGCGGGATGTCCAGGCGTGGGCTGCCTCCATTTCTAGGAAGCGGCTCCTTTCACCCTCCTGGAAGGTGCCATGGGCTCAGCGAGACTTGCCCTGTGAGCTGCCTCCACCCAGAGGGCACTTTTCCTGATTCACCTAAAAGCACCCTATAGACTCCCAGCCTCAGGCTCAGCCTGGCCCAAATGTTCTATATGTTCATTCGATGAGTATTCACCAAGTACCTGCTGCCTACCACTGATCCCCAGGAGGTGCAAACGGTTACAGCGTTCAGCTGCTTATCTAAAGACTGGTCGTTTGAGTCCACCCAGAGGCACCTCAGAAGAAAGGTCTGGCCATCTACTTCCCCCAAAAAATCAGCCATTGAAAACCCTATGGAGCACAGTTCTACTCTGACACACACAGGGTCACCATGAGTTAGAATCAACTGGCTGGCAACTGGTTTTAACTGTGTGCCAGAGGCAGGGACGATTTAACAAGACAATAAAGTGCCCAGCACCCAGCAAGCGCGTGGCTGTGTGAGCTTCTGCTGGAAAGCCTGTGGGTTTGCGCCAGTGCAGTGCCAGCAGAGCTGGAGGAGGGAAACACGGAGGTAGAATCTCTGCTTTCCCTTCGAAGGTGAAAGTTCCCTAATTCCATGTTTATCCAGCCGTCCCTAATGGTGCCTTCTGAGCTGTCAGGTGGTGTTAAAAACACGCATTAATATAAATTATACCCTGCCAGGCAGAAAGCGCAGATGACATCCCAGCTCACAAGGAGGCCGCGGAGGGCTGAGCAGCTCACGGCTGTGTCTTTGGGTCCTTCGGGTCTGTTCAGACTGTCTGCCATTCACAGGCCTCCTGGGTTTGTCCTGTGGAGAGGCCTTGGGTCTTGATTACAGCTCTGGTCAACAGAGGGGCCACGTACCGAGTGCTGACGGGTCCCCAGCACCGTGCCAAGCCCCGAGTGGGAGGGCTGGAGCCACCAGCCTGTTCCTTGCTGTATCCCAGAGCCCAACACATAGTAGGTGCTCAGTGATGTATGAATGAACAAGGAGAATAATAGCCAGTGTGTCTGGGCATTAACCACGTCTCATTTATTCCTCACAAGAGCCCTGTGGGGAAGACACCATAACTATCCCATTTTACAGGCAAGGAAGATGAGGTACAAAGAGGTTGAAGGATTTGCCAAGGTCACCAGGCTGGCAAGAGGCGCTCCTAACCTCCATGCCGGGGCCCAGGTGTTGTCGACAGGGCCTCCAGGTGCGCAGACCCTGCTGTGGTGGTCACCTTAATCATGGTGCTGTGGCCCGAGAGCTAGGCTCCCGGGAGAACCCCTTCATCACAGTGACTCTGGTTAACCGCCGCTCGTCCCACCCACCCGTTTGCCGAGGGCCTGCGCTGAGCCAGGGTTGTGCCGTGATGGGAAGCCCAGGAAGCTCGATTCTGGGTGATGAGACCCGCAGTCAGGAGGCAGGACCCAGGGCCGCGTGTGCTTTGGTGGGGCTGCTGAAGGCAGGCGGGAGCACAGAACGGGTGGTCAGAGAAGGCTCACAGGGAGGAGCTGAGTCCTGAGCCCGCTCCAGGCCCTCTCCTCCTACCCCAGACCCCTCCCGAGCTGCTCTGCTCCCTCCACAGGACCGGTCAGGTCCAAGTGCGGCCTCAGCAAGCCCTGCCCAGGCAACTTCTTTGCATTTAAAATCAGCAGCGGGGCTGCCAACGTCGTGGGCCCTTCCATGTGTTTCGAAAACCAAGTGTAAGTACCTGAGGGGCTCCTGCTTTGTCTTTTCTTTCTTGCATTCCTTCATTTACTGGCGAATTCCCAGGCTGCGGTGGGCAGGCCGTGAGACCAGCCCACACCTTCCTCAGACTTCCTTATCTGCTGGGGTGGGTGAGTCACAAGTAACAATGATCCTAACAGCTTCCGTGTTGTTCAGCATGGTCCCCTTCACTCCTTCAACACTGTCATTATCCCTGTTGTAAAGGGGAGGACATTGAGACTCGGGATCATCCAGCCAGCCGAAGGCAGAGCCAAAATCTGAACTCAGGTCTGTCTGGCAGCCAAACTACTGGGCTTCTCACAGAGGTGGCTGCAGGGAGGGCTCAAAAATGGCATCAAAGCCTGCATGTAGTAGGTGTGGACCTAGAATCCAACCCAGATAGTAAAGACCCTCGGACAGCAAGTGCTTCCTACAAAGAAGCCAGAGGACAGGTGTTTTTGTCAGGATTTTGAACCCAACCTCAACTTGCTTAAAAAAAAAAAAAGGAATTCATTGGTTCCCATGCCCAAAAGGCCAGAGGCAGCAGGCTTCAGGTCCAGCTTGATCCAGGGGTTCAAACTGTGTCTTCAGGGCTCCCTCTGTCACCAGCCTTGACTCTGCTTTCCTCTGTCTCTTAGCTTTGGTATTCCCTACTGCAAATGGGCTTCTCCATGTGGTCCAGGAGGGAGAACCCCACCTGGGTTGACACAGTATCTCAGCCTAGCCCCCTACTGGGAAGAGAGCTTTCTCTTCTGAATTGTCCCTGCAAAACTCTCAAGACTGGGTCTCATTAACTGGCCTGGGTCACGTGACCACAAGTAGCCCAATCACTGTGGCGCATCCAGGCCTGGGAGGGAGAGGGCCATCCCGAGAACCACCGACCCGAGAGTAGAGGAAAGATAGTTCTCCCAAGGAGCTCCAGAATACCGGGGTGTGGGTGCTGGGCTCCACGTGGGGAACCCAGACTCAGGAGAGCAGCAGCTCTTAGGGTTCTGCCTTCCTCCTAGCATTCAGGCCTCACAGCCAGGGGCTGGAGGTGGGGGTGGGAGGGCACTGCCTTCAATACCACAGGGCCCCAGGCAGGGACCTCCCTCCTCCAAACAGCCATGAGGGGTCCTGCTGCTTCCAGCAGCAAACAGATGGCCCAGATGACTCCGTGTGTTTCCTGAAGCTTCTGCATTGCTCCCTGTGGGCCCCTCTCGTCCGGAGTCACGAAAGCAGTGTTCTTTCCACACTCGGAGACCAACTGCTGTGTTGCTGTTCTTGCTCTTCTTCAGGATCATGAGCCCTGTGAAAAACAACGTGGGCAGAGGCCTGAACATCGCCCTGGTCAATGGTGAGTGCTCACCCGCCCCCCAGAGGGCCCTCCAGTGCCCACCACACTGTTAGCACTAGGGAGGGCGTTGCACACTCATTCAACAAACACTGGCTGAGCGTCTACCAGGTGCCCGGGGCTGTGCTGGTGCCACCGTGCTGAGGGGAGCGCGTGGCTGGCTGTGGGAACAGGAGGTCTAAAAGACCCCTCCTACTCACACGCTTGGCTGCTAACCGAAAGGTTGGAGGTTCAAGTCCACCCAAAGGCACCTCAGAAGAAAGGCCTGGCAATCTACTTCTGAAAAACCAGCCACCGAAAACCCCGTGGAGCCCAGTTCTGCTCTGACACACGTGGGGTCACCACGAGTCGGAATGGACTTGACAGCAACTAGTTACTGGTTGCCCATGATCCTAGCCAGGCCTTTCCGTATCCCAGGAGGATTCACTTTCCTATGGAACATGACCTGTCCTCAAGGCCCTCCCAGCCTACACCGGCACGCATAATGTGGGGCCAAGTGCTGAGTGCATGCCTTCATTCATTTGTTCAGCAAATATTAACAGCAGCTTCTGTGGTCCAAGCGCTGTACAGGCACTGGGGTCAGCCAAGAACTAGGACAGGCCGTGGCCACAGCCCCTGAGGGTGTCCATGAGGTTCACAGACCATCACAGCGTGGCGAGCATCTATTGAGGAGAAGGAAGCACGGCCAGCTGTGGGAACTGGGATGAAAAGTTGGGCGGGGGAAGGGGTAGTCAGGAAGGCTTCCAGAGGGAGGTGATGGCCCATTGAGGATGAGTAGGCGTTGGCCAGGAGAAGAGTGGGGGTAAGCTCCTCCCAGGCAGGAGCAGGGAAGGGAGAAAGGAGATGGGCTCATGAAGTCAATAGAGGCTCTTCCTGGTGGAAACATGGACGTGAGCCGTGGTGAGAGGCCCCCTGCCCTGCTCAGGAGGGTGGACTTGAAGTTGAGGGCAGTAGGGATCCACTGAAAGGCTGTGAGCAGAGCATGAGTGGCCAGCCTTGCATTCTAGAAACCTCCTTCTGGTTTGGAGAGGGGAAGGTAGAGGCAGGGAGACCCAGAAGAGACCCACAGCTCGCTGCCCCTGCGTCTCCAACAAGTGACGAAGGGGAGGCTGGACCACAGGCTGAGCCTCAAGTAGGGGCATGGCAGGAGGGGCTGGGTTTGCAGCTATCAGGGAAGGACCAGGTGGCGTGGCCCCCACCAAGGCCTTCCTCTGTCTCTTACATGGGGACACAGGCCATTTCCCTGGCTCTAAGCTGTTCCCAGAGCCTTGGTGGTGTGGTGGTTAAGAGCTCGGCTGCTAATCAAAAGTTCAGCAGTTCAAATCCACCAGCTGCTCCTTAGAAACCCTATGGGGCAGTTCTACTCTGTCCTACAGGGTCGCTATGAGTTAGAATTGACTCGACAGCAACGGGTTTGGGTTTTTGGTAAGCCACTTCCTAGGACAAAGGTCAAGGCAATACAGAGAAGGGTACAGCGATGTGCAGGGGGATGGCAGGCTTCTCGTGACCACACTTAGGAGTGGCAGGGTGGGACTTGAGCCCAGGTCTACCGAAGCTGTGGCACTTTGCTCCTGGAAGACCCTCCACCAAGGAACCCTGCTGAGTCGGTGGGAGGTCTCCGTTTGCAGCAGAATGGGGCACTGCCTGGAGGGGTGTCAGAGGGCAGCCTTGGCCAACTTCCTGGGGGCCTGAGAAGGACTCGGGCAGGGAAGGGCAAGACGGCTGCACAGACTCCGAGCTCTTGACGGGAGCCAAAGCCCATTTCACTTCCGCCTTCAGAAAGTGGCCGTCAGACAGTGGCCCTGCAGTCCTGAGTTCCTTCCTGTGGGGACGGGCGCGGCCATTCAGGCTGGTCTCCATGCAGTCTGGCACATACCAGGCTCCAGAAGACTGGAGGGGCCTCAGCTTATCCACTGTTCCCTGCAATCTTCACGCACCCCGCGGTGAGGAGGGCAGGAAATGCCTCCAGCTGCAGCTGACCTGGCTGAAATCTGTTGGGTTTCTCTTCCCCTAAATGCGCCACCACCTGGGAAAACCTCTTTGAACATCCTCCTGTCCACCCCCCACAAAGCCACTGGATAAGAACAGCCATCAATGACAGTAAGAGCTAACATGTATTAGACGCTTAATGTGTGCTAGCCATCTCAACCTGCGCACAGGGCTGGAATGGAGCTATGCTCAATAGCCCCATTTTCCAGGTAAGCATTGGAAAGAAGCTAAGAGAAGTTAAGCAACTTGCTCAAGGTCACGCAGCCAACGCACAGAATCATCTAGATTCAAATCTAGAGCACGCTAACTCCAAGTGTTAATTGCTCAGTTGAACTACCTGCCTAAACCAAAGCGGGGGCGGGAATCAAACCCACTGCCATTGAGTCAATTCCAACTCATACTGACCACATGGATTTTCCAAGGCTGTAAATCTTTGCGGAAGCAGACTGCCACACCTTTCTCCCGTGGAGCGCATGGTGGTTTTGAACCGCCAACCTTTCGGTTAGCAACTAATCACTTTACCCACTGCACCACCAGGGCTAGCAATATCTATAAGCATGTATGCAGCACCTACCAGCTGTGGCGAAGCCTGACAAATCACTCTGAGGGCCTCAGAGACCCCATCTGTATAATGAGCCGGAAGAACAAAAGGCTTGCTAAGAAGAGAGGTTAGGGAGTGAAGCGTGTGTGTGCTTTGCACCCTTAGATTCATCCGGATAAAAACCAGCGGGGTTCATCTCTTGCCTCGCAGCCTTAGACCGGGGATGACTGGCCAGATCCGTAGTTCTTAACCTTTAAGAGGTCAGAGTGTCAAGAGAAACTGTTTAAACTACTCTCCACCCCACCCTACCCCCACCATTTCAGAAAAAACAACAATCATAAAAGCAGTTTCAGGCGTTCACAGGCCCCCTTTCAGGTGAAGCTCCCCAGGGGGCTTGGACGCTACGTGGCTCCAAGAATCCTGAAGGGGTTGCAAGGTGAGCCTGCCCCCACCCCCAAGCAGGAGAGCTGCGGTGCCCTTGAGGGTACAGCTCCCCATTTCAGAAATCAACCAACAGTGGAGGCAATGTAGTGTGGCGATTGCCTCTGCAACATCCCCGTCTAGTGGCCGTGCTTGAGAACTGCACCTTTCCTGCAGAAAAACCCATTCCTGGAGGCTTTGGACACTTCAATTTCTCAGTGGGCTCAAGCACTGCAACGTTTGTGAGGACGGCGGAGGACCGGGCTGTGTTTCGTTCTAGTGTACATAGGGTCGTTATGAGTTGGAACCAACTCAACGGCACCTAACAACAACAAATCCTCGCCAGGCAAAACTCGCAAACGCGATTCAAGATTACTGAACTTGGGGAAACTGAGTAACATTCAGCCCAGAGCAAACCCCTTTGTCTGCAGGAGTTTGAGAACTCAAATTGCACATTTTCTGTTTAGGTGGGACTAAGAGCTATGTCTGCTAACCAAAAGGTCTGCAGTTTGAATCCACCAGCCGCTCCTTGGAAACCCTATGGGGCAGTTCTATTCTGTCCTGTAAGGTCACTTTGAGTTGGAATTGACTCCACGGTAATAATGGGTTTGGTTTTTTTCTTAATGTATAGGGGAAGAGCCCTGGTGGCACAGTGGTTAAAAGCGCTGGGCCGCTAACCAAAAGGGAGGTGAAAGGAACTGACCAGCTGCTCTGTGGGAGAAAGCTGTGGCAGTCTGCTTCCGTAAAGATCACAGCCTTGGAAAGCCTATGGGGCAGTTCTACGCTGTCCTATAGGGTCATTATGAGTCAGAATCGACTCGATGGCAATGGCTTTTTTGGTTTAATGATGAAATTAGAGGTCCCTGGGTGTTAGCAAAAGGTTTGCACTTGGCTACAATCAAAATGGCAGTTCGAACCCAGCCGGCAGCGCCGTGGAAGAAAGACCTGGTGATCTGCTTCCATAAAAATTACAGCCCAGAAAATCCTATGGAGCAGCTCTACCCTGTAACACATGGGTTCGCCATAAATCAGAATCAACTCTACAGCGGGGAGTTTTTTGAAACGGAGGTTAGCATGCTAAGTCACATGTTAGGAAGTGCAGGGCAGAACAGAGACTCTGACTGGTTAGAGTCTGTTCTGTTCCAGAAGCCCTCAACCGTTATGTTCTTGTACATCTCAGATCAGCCCAACAGCTTTGGGCGCCTGCATGCTTTCTACAGGAGCTGTTTTTATTCTATTATTATATGTTTAATCCTTAGACATGGAACCCAAAGAGTAGCCATTTTCAGCAAAGTGACAGGCAGGATGACGTGTGTTACGGAAAATAATGGCTCCGCTCTCTTAAACCCTTAGGAACTACGGGAGCGATGCTGAAACATAGCTACTTTGACATGTACTCCGGAGGTAGGTGCTTCTTTTGGTCCTGAAGTCACGGTGTGGGCTGAGCTGCTTCCTGTGGCCGGGAGCCCATGGAGGCGGGCTTATACGGGAGACAAACAGAAAGAGCTGCTTTGGGGGTTAAGAGTCCTCCTGCTGCCTTTGAAACTGCCTCCTCCTTTCTTAGTTTGAGCTCTCCCTGACGCAGATCCCAAGACAAGGATTCTGGTGCAGTGGTTTGTGTGGGAGCTGCTCTCAGCAAGCAGCAGTAGAGGAGTGGAAAGGAAGGGAGGGAAGCTGATACAGAGTGCGTTATCAAGTCGTTTACCACCGTGGGCAACGGGGACTCCATCCCACTGGGGAACTCTGGGGCCAGTGTCGGCCACACACCTCAGAGACATCCCAGTCTGGTCCAAGGAGCTGGGGTGCTCATCCCTGTCATTCCTTGGCACGTCCAGCACTTAGGGCCTGCCCTGAGGGCAGCGAAGTGGGATCCAGAGAACAGAGCAAGTCCTCAGGCAAGGAAATGTGGGCGCTGGCAGATGGAGGACAGGCATGGGTGCACTGAAGTGCCCAGGACAAGGGCATCCTGGCTGCTATCCCCATTTAAGCTCAGGCAGGCCAAGGGCATTTTATTTTGAGGTCACCAGGGCCTCTAGTGGAGCAGGGTCGGGGCAAGGCTTCCCAAGGCCAGAAAGGACAACTCTGAGGCTCTGAGCAATCTGTGTCTTTCTGCAGATTTCTTTTCTTCTCTCTGCACAGACATGCTTTTGAGGTTCTCTGTGCACATGGCCACATGTGGCCACCCCAGCCCCAAGCCTTAGGAAGTCACTGTCCTCCTGCTCTTAGCACAGCCCAGCAGGACAGGGTACTGGTGTATGTGGACTGGCGTTCCGAGCATCTGAGTTTCCACCAGCAGCTTCCTCACCAACCAGCCACCTGGCACAGCCGTGGGTAAGAGAAGGACTCTCACCTGGCACTCCTGGCATCTTCCAAAGATGGTGGGTGCAGCCCCAGGCCCCGGATGCCAGCCTACTGGCCCCCTGGCAACCCAGCCTCCCTCAGGTCCAAGGAGCCTCAACAAGTGGCAGCCCAGCAGGTTCCCTGAGCTTTGCAAACAGGCAGAGACCCAGGCCCTGCAAGGACTGGTTCCCCTCATGACAGATGAACTGAGCTCCAGCCCTGTCTCGGGCACCATCTGGGCTCAGTTTCCCTCCCATCTCCCTGAGACCTGCTCTGGGCAGAGCATGTGTGGCCTCTAACCCCAGACACCGCCTCCCAGGGTGGAAAGAAAGCTGTGCTGCTCCCGAACAGCTGTGTTTCCTCTCTCCAGAGTCCCCTATATTTGCATCAACTCCCAGGAAAACCTACCTAAACACCTGAGCCCCGGGGCAGAAAGTCACCACCAGCTGAGGCTGAGAAGACCTCTTGGCTTTACAAACACAGGAAGCTGCTGACACATGGAAAATGGGGATCTGCTGCCAGAGGCCACACCCGGGGGTGTTTGGCTTGGTGGTCTGCATGCCACCCTTACAGTCAGCTGGGCCCCTGGGCTGGGCCTGGGGTGTCCAAGGGCCCTGCGCTGTCCTCCTCCAGCCCCATCCCACCTCGTGGGTGAGGAGTCTGCAGGGTCAGGGATGTGCCAGCCCGGAGCCCACATCCAGGGCCCGTGTAGGCCTCTCCCCAGCGGTGTCATCTGAGCTCACCCCTAGGATGGGGGAGGGGGTTGCTGATGCAGAAGGGGGCGGCTGTGAATGGAGCTTGCACGCAGACTGGGGTGTCCACATGCTGATGTGCAAGGCCCTTCTGGGTCAGGACAGAACCGAGGACAGGGGTGAGAAGAGCAGGGACATGAACCAGAGACCTTCATTCGCTCCCCTGCTGGGCCCTGCAGATGACCGACACGGGTCGCCTGGGGCCAGGTTTCTGTGAAAGGCCCATTCTCTGGAGGCAGAGACTTGGGGCTGCAGACCTGAGGAAGTGGCACATCTGAGCCTCGGTTTCTCCGTCTCTAAAATTATAGTGTTCCCTCAGAAGATGGATTTGAGGGATAAATGAGAACCTGCAATCTTTGGTGTGAAAGGGCCCATCTTGGCTGCTGGAGGGGCCAGGGGAAGCGAATTTAGTCTTCTCTCTTCCCTTTCCTCCTTCCATCACCCCATCCAGATGATTCTGAAGCAAGGAGGTCAGCTGTCAGGATGAAAGGAAAAAAAAAGACGAAACTAAGTTCTCAATGCTTTCACGAACTTGGACTAGCCGTGGGCGATGGGGAACGGGTACCAGAAGTATCTGAAGGACAAGTTGCCCCATTCCACAGGAAAGAAAAGAGGCAAATGATTGTTTTAAGTGAGAAAATGATTAACAGAAGGCACACTTTATTTTTCCCAAATATGCACTGTCCATCCCAGAAAAGAGCCAGATCTTAGTATCTGCAGACAGCTCACCCAAAACACGGATACTTTAAGATGGCAACTGACAACAACAACTTTTTGTCTTAAAGCCTCAAGGGCCGTTTCATTAAAAGAGCTGCTGTGAAGGAGCCCTGGTGCGGTGACGGTTAAGCGCTCGGCCGCTAACCAGAAGGTTGGCAGTTCAAATCCACCCAGCGGCAAGCTGGGAGAAAGACCTGGTAATCTGCTCCGATAAAGATGACAGCCTAGAAAACCCTGTGAGGCAGTTCTGCTCTGTCACATGGGGTCATTATGAGTCAGAACCGACTTGACAGCACCCAACAAGAACCACATATAACATATATGGCAAACGTGTAAGCACACTAAAAATAAAAGAGCTGTGTGGTAGCTGTTTGGGGCTTCTGTGCCACTGAGGTCTGAGGTATCCCCATGGGAGTATTAATAATCAGGGTGGCTTCATGGGCATAAGACCCGTGTCATTACACAGGGCCCAACGCTTAGGAGAGCCCTATGCTGTTATGGTCTTGAAAATTCTTAATCATTTTTTAACAAGGGGGCTGCATTTTCATTTTTCACTGGACCCCACAAGTTATGTAGCTGATCCTGCTAATAATATTAAGTCCATTATAGTGCACTTACTGTTTTCCCAGAGTCATTGTCACATTGGAGCTTTACAAAACTGCTATGAGCAGGGCTATCAATGATCCTCATTTTACAGCTATGGCCCATGCTTTAGCCACTAACCAAGAGGCTCCTTTACAAGTTGTGCCATATTCAGTGCCGTCTGCATTATTAGTATTTTCCTTTAAACCAACTCTTTTTCTACTTTAAATAAATGTATTTTTTAAAGGAAACTGAAACACTGCCGTAAGTAGAAAGGCATTATTGTTTGTTTTGCAGGGAATGTGACCGTGAAAATAAATACGACAGAAACAAATCAGCGTCCTTAAAGTGAGCTGGACGCTGATGCCTTCCCCACACGCTGGCCGAGGCCTGCTCTCTGTTAAATGGAGAGGTCAGCAAGGTTAGGAAGTGTTCAAGATACAATAACACCAAACAGAGCCTCGGTCCTTGGTGTCAGCAGGACAATTGGAGGAAACTAATGCTCCCTCCAAGGAGCCTGGTGGCACAGTGGGTAAGCTCTTGGCTGCTAACTGAAAAGTCAGCAGTTCAAAACTCATCAGTTGCTCTGCTGGAGAGAGATGTGGCAGTCTGCTTCCGTACAGGTTACAGCCTTGGAAACTCTATGGAGCAATTCTACTCTGTCATATAGGGTTGCTAGGAGTCCGGGTTCACTCGGCAGCAGTGGGTTCCGGTAATGTTCCCTCAAGGAGCCCTGGGGGCTCAATGTTAAGTGCTCAGCTACTAACTGAAAAGTCAATGGTTCGAACCCACCCGGCAGCACTGCGGGAGAAAGACCTGGCAATCTGCTCCCATAAAGATTAAAACCCGTTGCCATCTAGTTGATTCCAACTCATAGCAGCCCTATAGGACAGAGTAGAACTGCCCCACAGGGTTTCTAAGGCTGTAATCTTTACAGATGAGACTGCCATATCTTTCTCCCGAGGAGCAGCTGGTGAGTTTGAACCGCCGAGCTTTCGATAGCAGCCTCGTGCTTAACCACTGCACCACAAGGGCTCCTTCCCATAAAGATTACACTTAGGAAACCCTATGGGGCAGTTCTACTCTGTCACATGGGGTCACCATGAGTCAGAACTGACTTGACGGCACCCAACAACGACAGTGTTCCCTCTCTGAGGTCCGGGTCGTCTGAGGTCATGTGGGTGTCCTCTCTAAAGTCCGCACAGCCTGGGCGCCTAAGCAGTGAGGCGGGGGCAGAGAGGGGTGCACCAAAAGCCCAGGCTTCCTGAGAGATGGCTGTGCCTGGTGCCCTGGGGGTAGGCCCACAGGGTCCTCTAGGCCAGTGATTCTCAGCCCTGCAGTGCATTAGAATCACCCGGGCAACTTCACATTCCAGTGTCAGGAACCCAGGCAGACCCCCTGAATGAGGGTCACCTCACTCCACCCACTCCACCCCGTGAGCTCTCCCCAGGCCAGGGCTGCAGGGAGCCCCACCCCGGGCTGCTCCTACTCCTCAGGGACGTAGACGAGAACGACCAGCAGTCCTTTTCCCTAAATGACCAGCACCTCGTTCTTCTCCCTCCTCCAGATCCTAACAAACTGGTGAAATTCCTTAAGGAAATTACAGAGGACACGCTGGTGCTGGTGGCCTCTTACGACGACCCGGGGACGAAGTAAGTGGGTAACTCCCGCCCCGCAGCCCTGCGCCCCTTTGCTGCTCCGCCACGGCTCCGTCTTCTCGGGCCATAGTCAGACACGTGCACCAAGATGTTGTAGGGTTGCCCGTCACGGCCGTGGATGGTGAGTAAAGACAGCCAGAAACCATCCCCCTGTCCCGTGATAGCCAGCTGCTTATATAAATGCTGACGTGTTGCGGTACACGATGTGCTATGATGTCAGGAGCCCTGGTGGTGCAGTGGTTAAGCGCTCAGCCGCTAAGCCACAGGTCAGTGGTTCGAGCTCACCCAGCAGCTCTATGGGAGAAAGACCCGGCGATCTTCTCCCTTAAAGATTCCGACTCATAGCGACCCGACAGGAAAGAGTAGAACTGCCCCCATAGCGTTTCCAAGGCTATAAATCTTTGGGGAAGCAGACTGCCACACCCTTCTCCCACGGAGCAGCTGGTGGGTTCGAACGGCTCACCTATCAGTTAGCAGCTGAGTCCTTAACCACTGAACCACCAGGGCCCCTCTCCTGTAGAGATTACAGCTTAGGGAATCCTACGAGGCAGTTCTCTGTCACATGGGGTCGCTACGAGTCGGAATCAACTTGCCGGCACCTAACAACAAATGATATAATAAATATTATATGTACATTAACTATGGTATACTGTGGCGAAAATGATGACATAGGAAGTATTTAGGACACGGAAAAAACACTCCTCCTTTAGGGTTAAGTGGAAAAAACAAAAACCAAACCCATTGCCGTCAAGTTGATTCCCACTCGTAGTGACCCTAGAGGACAGAGTAGAACTGCCCCACAGGGTTTCCGAGGGGTGGCTGGTGAATTCAAACTGCTGGCCTTTTGGTTAGCGACCAAGCTCCTAACCACTGCGCCACCAGGGTGAAAAAAAGGAGGTAACAAAACAGTTGGTGTGACCCCCACTGTGCGGGGAAGAATGGACACGGGGAAGAATGGACACAGGGAAGATGAATGGTTTACAGTGCTTCTCAAGAGGAGTGAGACCGTGAGCATGTTGTAGTTACTTCTTTGTGATTTTCCATTGTTTTCAAATGAACATGTTATTATACTTGTTACCAGAAATGTTTCAACACCTCTCCAGCCCCATCCGAGTCCCCCTTTGGGAGAGAAAGGCTTGGGACCCCTCTGCCCTTTTTTTCTTGAGTGTGACCGGGCGCCTCCTTCCACGCGCTCCACCCAGGCATCTGTGGAGGGCGGAGGAGGGCAGGCATGTCCTTGGGAACCTAACCTCATCTCCTCCCATCTCACTACCTGGTTCCCTGTTGACCCACCGCCACACCTCCTGTCCTCTCTGTCCTCCGCAGAATGAACGACGAGGCCAAGAATCTCTTCTCCAACTTGGGGAGCACCTACGCAAAGCAAATCGGGTTCCGGGACAGCTGGGTCTTCTTAGGGGCCAAGGACATCAAGAATAAAAGCCCCTTTGAGCAGGTGGGTTCCTGGCCCTCTCCCAGCCCCAGAGAGGGACAAGGTGTGGGCTGGGGGTACGGAAGACACCGGTAAACCTGTGACTCATGGCGACCCCATGTGACAGAGCAGAACTGCCCCATAGGGTTGCCTTGGCTGTGGTCTTTAAAGGAGCAGATTGCCAGGGCTTTCTCCTGTGGAGCCTCTGGGTGGGTTTGAACCACCAACCTTTTGGTTAGTAATCAGTTTGCAAACTGTTTGCGCCAGCCAGGGACCCCTGACCCTCACCCACCAGTGGCCTTATTGCGAGAAGGAATCTCCACACAGGGCAGGGCAGAGACCACCCACGTGTCCTTTGCAGCGGTGGTCAGGGTCATCCGACCAGTCAGTCCCCCAGCAGGACGCTGGCTTGCCATGTGGCAAGGAGGTGGGTCACGGAGAAATGCACACACGTGGGATAAGCGGCTGAAAACACAGGACGGAAAGGAGAAAAGGACCGAGAGAGAAAGGAACGGAGGGAGGGAGGCTGAGTGAGGGGGCGGGACCCCGGCTTCTGGTCCCAGCTGTGGTGTTAGCTGAGCCCCTCTCCCTCCAGGCCTCCGTCTCCCCACCTGTAAAGGGAGGCCTGGACCAGGTGGGCTCCGAGGCCTCTTGCAGCTCCCAGTAGAGA